TGTAACACAATATCATAACATGCAATTGATCTGGTCAATTTATTTGACAAAGTCTTTGGAAAAAAATGAAAGGCTTAATTTAACTGACCAGTCAGTTTAGTAAAAATACTTGATTCAAAACTAAAATACCAATTCTGGTAAGTTATTTTTGACACAGTCTAAATGGACATAACTGCCAGGGAAACCCAGATAATATAGACTTTTACATGTCTACATATTAAATTCAATGCAAAATGTAAATTATCATTTGAGACATGTATTACACTAACTGTCACCCATTTTTACAAGGTGTGGTAAGGGGCAGGCTACATGAAGCATACTGTAATGGTATTTCTTCATTTTCTGAAAATTTCTTCATAACAGCAAAGCTGGCATTTTATAATTTCCAGAGCTATAAATCATTTTTAAAATCATGATGATATTACCAAAAACAGATGTGAAAACATATGTTTGCCCCAGTTGTATAAACTGCTTACTTGTCATACTTAATAGATGTTGAGACTTCTACTTTAACTAGTTTCCTTTTAATAACTAAAATCTATTTGAGGAAAATATATTTTGTCTTACTATCACAAATATAACTGGTAGAACTCAACATAGAAAATCCCATTTAAAAGAAAGCCTTCTACTCTAACTGGGGTGCAGTATAATATGTCACTCCTGTTTATTAATGTCCTCGTCAGAATGTGTGATCAACCTATTTGATTGAAATGAGTAAAACTGTGCCATTCCACAGCAAGAGATTCAGAAATGCCAGTATATACCACTGTGTATTTTATGAAAATCAGTTACTGTACATCTGTACTAGTGCTCCAGCTGATTTTTCATAAGACACAGCAGTGTGTACTTGAGTGCTACAGCACACAAGCCAGCCCTAAATGCCATTTTGACTTATGGGGTTTGCAGTTCTGATGGAATCATATGTGTCATGTACAGCTTGAGATTTTCCTAGAAAACCTGCTTTACTACCAAGTTATCCTTTAAATAGTCATGACTTGGTGGGAAAGAGGTCTCAGGAACAATTGCTGCTGGGTTATGAATGAAGTTTCATCTTTAACTAGAATTTCATTACCTGAGTAAGAGTTTGGGTAGTTTAATATACGGAACCTAACTTCTTCCATTCTGATGACTACTCTGGAAATCAATCATTTGCATCTTGGAGCCCCATGGTGTATAGAGTTTCAGTGTCTGGCTAAAAAGGAGACTAAACATGTGGCAAGGAAACCAACCATGGATCAATGTAATTCAAATCATACATTATTCCAAATTCCAACTAATATGCTCATCTAGGTAATTATGAAGCAAGTTCAGTCTAGAGAACAAAGAAAAAATTCTCCATTAACTTTTCAGCTTATGGAGTCTTTTTTCTATATACTATGAGCATCTTTAGTAGAGATATAACAATGCACCCTACGGTGAACTACAAACAGACCATGTGATGATCTTATAAATTACATATTAGCTATCGTCAAATTCAAGGTGACATCAACGATGCATAGCCTATAACATATGATTATATATTTTCCTTTTCTCGTAACTTTTCAGCCTTTTTTATTGAAATATAATTGTACTTATCTGTAGGGTATAGCATTGAATTTCAATACCTGTGTGCAATATGTGATGCTCAGATCAGGATAATTACTATATTTATAAACAATGTATTGAATACACAATGTATTCATTTTTTGTGGCCCTTAACCAATTTCTTGCTAACCCTTTCCTTCCTCTGGTGGCCTCAGTTTTCTCAGCCTTTTAAACAAAAAGTTGTACTCAGCTTTCATATCAGGAGAGCATCACTTTGAAATTTTTATTTACACTACTATCTTTAAACAGATATCCTAACACAAAACTGGGTGCTGTGCAGAGGTGACACATGTCCCTCAGCAGATCAAAAGCCAGACTGAGGTCATATCTACCAGTATTCCTGGTAAATACTTGATGGATTAACTTGCTAAGCTTTCATTTGTAATGTTCAACTTAACATATATTTTTAAACTGTTCTAGAGGGTTGAGGGGAGCATCTCTCCCCCATGACAGCAATCAGTTTTTTCAAATATAACCCATCAAATTGTAAGTCATTTAAATGTAGTTAATAAAATACATACATGATACAAAGAAAGTCAGATGTTTCTGAGCAGGCATAATAAAAGACCTGAGGGTGAAGTTTCCAACCACATGCCAGACAAATTTCAGACTGATATGTAATTTATAACACCAAATAAATAAGCTCCAGGTAAACATCTTTTTTATTTTACTAATAAAAGGATTTATCCAAAGCCAGTATGAATCTATTCCAACTTAAGGAAATTTGGATGCAACATAAAACACTTGGATATTAATTGAGTTAGTATCTGATCTTTATATATACATCAAATAAGCAAAAATCATTTTACCTTTATGATCCCTTTGGAATTTTTTGATGGTTGGTCCATTATCCTGATCAACAATAAGGTCCTCTCTATTGTTGGGCATCATAACTATAAATAAAAGATGTAACTGAGTAAATTTCCATGCAAAACACCCAAAAGAAAGGCAGAAAAGCATCACATAAGTGGCTAATATTCTCCAATAACGAAACATGAATTATATATACTTCTACTTCTGAAACAGTGAAAGATTTTTGTTGGTCTGACAATCACATAATTTAAAAATCAATAAGCTGCTTAATTATGTGAACTTTAAAGTATAATTAACATATAGTACATGTATAATTGCCAACATATTTTCTTTAAAGCATTTTAATTATTTCCTCTTTTTAAATCCATATGCAAATTATTTGCCTCCATTATTAATAATATATTTTTCAAAATGCTTCTGAAAATAATTTATCACTTGATAAATCATGAATTTAAAATAATAATGCATTTTAGTCACTTTGTGGAAGTTTTTGCAAATATCATATATAGCAATATTAATAGATAAAATATAATTTTCTGGTAATTATTGTGATTATTCATGAAACATTTATACTGAAAGAGGAAAAACATGCTAATTTTCAGAATTTATCATATCATTCATTTTAGTCATATTTTATTGAAACATTAGATAGCTCTATAAATAAAATATGGTCACTTTGAAGCTAAGAACCATCAACTCTTTTTATTCATTTATAGACAATCTCACTATCGTGCTTGGACAACTGTGGAATGTACATATAGAGCCTAATTACCGACAGTGGAATTAGAAATATACTGTGTTGTCAAGATTTTTTCCTAGGATATTACATTGCTTTGGAAATATTTGATTTTACTTCCAAGTGTAAGTTACCCATTCTCTTATGATGTATCTGTCACTGAGTATATTTCCTTATGTGCTCTGCTTTTAGCCAGCACTCAATAAATAATTTTCTCTATATATCCTTTTCCCCCTTCTCTCTCCCTTCCCTTACCCTCACCAATACAAAGACTACCCCAACAGAAGAATGTGTGCTTTTATTTCTTGATTCATTAATGAACATATAACTGTAGCCTCTTGCCTTGCTCAGACTCACTTGAATCAGTTGCACACAATGTTGTAACAACCAGGTAGTCTGTGTCCATAGAACAGAGTGAAGCTAGAAAACCTCTGTTACTTCTTCCAGAAATTAAGTTTACTCCTTCAGGGCCATTAGCCTCAAGCTCTAATTCATTGGTTCTTAACCCTTGCTGCACATTAGAATCTCCTGAGGAGATACTGAAAAAGAACAAAATACTGCTGTATTCCAGACCAAGTGACTCAAACTCTGATTGTATGGCCTGCGCATCCATCTTTGTAAAAACTCCACAGGTGATTACAATGGGGAGCAGGGTTTGAAGAACCACTGAGATCACTGTTAAGTTAAAGAGTCATAAACAATATATAACATTGACAAGCTAAGTGAGACTTGGGCAATTTTCCACAAGGGAAAAATCACCTTCACCCTTCCCTGACACAAATTCCCCACATCCTCCTCCTCACCCCCAAAACACATTTTTTTTGGAGAGGCTGGAAGTAAGCACTATTATGAGCTGTAAAAATTAAGAGTCACAAAAAGGAAGTTCCTATAGTAACAATAAAAGAATAGCAGAAATTATTTTCACTGAAGAAAATGGATACATAGAAAATGGGATTGTGTAGGTACAGAAGGTTAATGAAGATTTAATCTAGCTCAATTGATCCATAATTATTATATACTAAATGATAATTTGTGACAGCTGAATGCACCTGGTAACTTCTGTATACCTGAGTAGGATCAGAGAGCCGGAGATGATAAGCAAGGAAGGTAAAGTTACAGAGAGAAAAGTCATGTTTATCCTTCACAGTTCCTTAGCACTTTAAACTCCTGAAGTGTTTTTTTTTCAAATATTATTTCATTTGACCTCAAAATAACACAGTGTATTTGGCAAGGCGGTAATTATTTCCATATAATAGATAAATAAACTCACGGTGGTTATGTGACATACCCAAGATATTAGAGCTAGTTAGTGCAGGACCTATGGCTAGATTCAAGTCTTCAATATGCCACATCACCACCAACTTTTGGAACAGTGTCCATAGTGTAAGACTTCTGAGACAATAAATGTAGGAAAAACCATGTTAAATATTTGTGATCTAAGTTGTTGAGATTGTGGCAAATCATAATGATTCACTTTTTAACCACTTTCTAATGATCAGCTACCTGCAGGATATTTTATCGTCCAATATTCTAAAGGATGCTGTGAATGCAACAATTGTATTGTATCACATTATCTGTTTATATACCAACATATCAAACTAACACATTCTCTACAGAAATTCCATCATATCATTCCCATGAGATTGTCTTATACAATAAAGGAAGGCCTTCGCAGAGAACAAACTTCTAACATTAAGTTTCATTCCATTGGTCATATTGCTTCAGCAATAAAAACTGACCACTTCAAAAAGCCCTATATATTAATCAGGTGTCAGCTCCCCCAGCTTCTTTCTCCCCTCTCTGTTGCCTAATGAGGACTTTCCTGAAAGAATATATTCCAATTACTTGTTCCAGGGAAGATACTCACCCATTCTCTCTGAATGATGATCCATCTGAGAGGGAGAGCTGGACACACTGCTGCTGGGGTGGGAGGATGTCTGGCTCCCAGGGCGATGACTTTCTTCCAGAGAGGGCGCAGGAGAAGGACTCTCCGGGATCCGCTCCTGAGACAAAGGAAACACAAAAGGAAATGCCATCTGTGTGCAAAGTTTTTCATGTTGATTTAGTCCATAACATTTGAGTGTTGACCTCTCATCCATAAAGCGTACATATTCACAATATCTGGTCTTAAATACATATCTTTAGGCAAAAACATATATTTGGTTCTTGTGAAATTAATGTGATATCGTGAGGGTTAAATAAGAAAAGAAGGTGAAAGGGCCCAGTGTCATGCCGGGTACATGGAAGAGACTCAAAAAAAGTTAGTTACCATTTCCTTTCCCAGAAAATTCATAAATAATTATAAACATAGGTGTGTAGTGAAACTTATTTTTACTGCAAGCTTCTAGATTGATGTAAAGTTCATGCTAAGGCCTGGAGGATGATACTACTATCTGATTGAGAAGGAGATCTCTCAAATGTAAGACTTGAGAGCCCTGGAATAAAACTCACAAATAGTGGCACCGAGTACATAGTAAGGTTTTCTACACAAAAATTATAGAAATAGTATACCTGTAATCTATTACACCTTAGGAACTTACGTTAAATTCTTTTTTTTTTTTTTCTTTTTGTCTTTTTTCATGACCGGCAATGGATCACAACCCTCAGTGTCACGCCCATACTGGACCGGGACCGGCAACGGGATCGCGACCCTTGGTGTTGCGCCCGCACCTCGCTCAGCCAGTGAGCGGCCAGTCTGTATGTGGGATCCGAACCCTCAGCGGGAGCGCCAGCCGCACTCCCAAGCAGCGCACTGCAGCAGTGCGCCACCGGGCCGGCCCGGAACTTATGTTAAATTCTGACAACAAAACATTTTGATAGTCCCAGGGCACAATGATGGGTTTTTCAAACTGACACTAAGATCTATCAATGCCAATTCTTTAGTATTGCTTAGATTGCTATAGTTTAAATAATGAATTTGAATAAAAATCAAAAATTTTTACATATCTCTACAGTAATTATTATGGCTCTCAAGACTCCTGTGATTATGAAAATTGCTATAAAACACTGAACTTATTCACAATGTTTATGCATCACAAACTGATGAATAAATCTGAATCATTCAGTTAATTTGATCAATAAAAGAACCAAATTGCAGTGTTTATGCACATATGCAATAAATATGACTGGATGATAGACATACTGGGACAGAAAATGTTTGTTCTATAAAATGTTTCACTCATCCATAATAAAATTTCTTAAATTAAATATTATGTCTAATTATCTGTAATCACATCAGTATTCTAATCATCATAACATTAAGAATTAGACTGTCAAATATGTGCTTGTACATTTTTACATTGATTTTGCATGAGAAGTCCAAAATTTATAAACCCCTAAAGAAAAACTGTTTGCCTAATGCCCAAAAGTGATAGCATGAGAGTTAAAAGTTATTATTTCATTAGTAGTAGTTAATATTTTACAATGTCCATCATTGCGCAGACAGAAAGATGCCTCCCCCACTCCAGAGACGTCCAGTTCACATCCTAATTGTTGGAACCTGTGAATACATTATCTTGCGTGGCCAAAGGGGCTTTGCAGATGTGATTGAGAACCCTGAGATAGTGAGATTATACTGGATTCTCTTGGTAGGTCCAATCTGATCACAAGGTTCTTAAAAGTGGAAGACAGAGGCAGAAAAGAATATTGGAGGGAGATACTACTGCAGAATAATGGTCAGAGAGATGCAACATTTCTGGCTTTGACAATGGAGAAAGGGAGCCATAAGAAAAGAAATGAGGTTGGCCTCCGGAAGCTTGAAAAGTCAAGGAAACAGATTCTTCCCTGGAACCAACAGAAAACTTTGCTTTTAGCCCTGTGGACACATGTCTGACTTCTGACCTACAGTACTGTAAGATAATAAATTAACATTGTTTAAAGCCACCAAATGTGTGTTAATTTGTTACAGCAGCATTAGAACACTAATACAATCATCAATGTACTATGTTAATTTTTAAATGGTGTTTTACATTATCACTTAGCATTTAATTAACATTCAACAACTTTACTGAAATGAATAGAAGACTTTGAGTATATTAGCTGCAGTATTATATGCTAATTAAATTCCAATAACTGTAAATATATATTACATTTTAAAGACTTTATAGCTGTTGTCATGCCTCAAAAATGTTTTATTTATTTATTTTAATTTTATTTATGTATTTATTTATTATTATTATTTACATTCTAAGATGTTGTTGTGGAACAGTTGGGGGAGAAGGGAAAGGGGAGGAGGTTAGGGTGGGAGAAGGAGGAAGGAGGGAGGGGAGCATGGTTGTGGCCCGTGGCAATGTTTTAAAACAGAGTGATGTACTGATACATTTCATTTATATTTAGTATGCAAGAAAATATCTACTTGTAGCACAGTGAATGCAAGGCAAAATCTAAAGAAAGATATAAGTAAAGCAAAAGAAAATAATCAAGTTTTTCTCCTCCAGTAATTCTACTTGTATTTTGGAGGGATGGTACGGGGATGGACAGCAAGACCTATCATATGGCCCTTGTACCACACCCTTTTGCTTTTAGAAAAGTCTAGTAGTCAATCAGTTGTGAAATTCAACCTAAACTATCAGGTTTAAAATATATTCTCTAAGTACTATGTGTGCATGCGCATGCACACACACACACACACACACACACACCCCAATGAAAAAAATTTCATATATGAGGCCAAAATTATTTTTGCCTTTTACTGTTGTGTAGTTTCATTGATTCTATGCCAAAATATGTGCATAAAACGTAGAACATTCAATATTTGTCTTTGAATTCTAACATTAGAATTTTGCTGAAAAAGTGCAATTCAGTGAACTACATTTATCCCTAATGGACCTCTGAATGAATGCACAGTAACAAAGTATAGCAGTTACTGTGCAAAAATAGAACTGCAGAAACAAAAATCACTGTATAGTGGCAAACAGGAATCACATACAGCAATACATCATGCCATAATAATGGAAAAATGTTGAGTGATTCATACAGCTGATGGTTTGGAAAAACAAGAGAATCCAACTGACAATGATACTTGGTCTTGCTCAGTCTGTCTAATAAAAAATGAAAACTTATTCTGAATAAAAATTTGGGAGAATGTGTACATAAATAGAAAATGCTATAAATAATGAGAATACAATTCTATGATAAGGGATTCCCTCAGTATATCTTGAATTAGTATGTGATCAAACAATTTAACTCGAATAATTTACCTTATACTCCTTCTCTACCATCTTCAACAGCATATAAGGTGAACAATAAACTAACTTTGAGAACATGATTGAGAGAGTAAATATTGAGTGACAGTAACATTTTGCATGAAGCAATATTTCTGCTTTAAGATTTTGTAGCCTGCACTTACCAAATTTAATCAAGGTTCAATTATTTTCCTAAGGCAGCACCAAAGTCAGATTTTTTCACCATGTAAGCCATGTTAAATGAGTCCAGTATCTTATATTGACTAAGAATTAGGTGTGTTTAAAAAAATACCTGTGTGAAACTGAAATTTTTAATTTCTCCTAAAATAATGAATAGTTCTATGAACAATTTCTTCTTTGCAAGTAAACAGATCCATTTTTCAGCCCTGTAATCAGTATGCATCTATTTAGTTACTTAACTGCAATGTGCTTTGGTTCATTAGGTGGCTACTGTTGTGTCTCAGCCTAGTTAAAATTTCACAGCAAGTTAATCTGTTTTATTACAAATGAGAACACAAGTGATAATGTCCTCACCATTTGCCAAATACAGGGTTAACAGTATTCGCAACAAATTAATAAGCGCATTTTAAAAAGAAAATTGCAAATCTAAAACCCCAATCATTTTTATTCATTGATGACTTCATTTTATGTGGCATTTATGACTTTTACAACCCTGTTACTGTTCATGTATTTCATTCCTGCCCCCTCAAAAACAGCTGCAGCTCTTCTGAAATACTATAGAAATCTTCTTCAGATTCAATGTAGTAAAGGAAGGAAATTTCCAAAATGTATACATTCTAACACACCTAAATCCCTGATTTCTTCAAAATTTGTAAAATTATTTTCAATAATATCTCAAATTCTAACATGTACTTATATAGTTCAGAGTTTATGCCTAAAAAGTCATTAAAGAAAATGTTACTAATTGATACAAACTATTCCCTCCTCTATCATACAATTTTTTCTGAGAAATATCACAAATGTTCAAAGGATACATTCATCACATTAAATTATCTGAAAGTACATTTGAACCTTCATAAAAAGCAGGGGCAACGCTTAGAAAATTCAGTTTTTTACAGCATTTAACACAGTCAAATTGGTTTAGTATTTTTATTGACACTAGAGTATCAACTCTGACCATTTTCATGGAGATCATTTATTTCATCTCACTATATTCCTTTATATCCTTGAAAATATGGTAGTATACACAGAATTTATGAAGTATTAATATGTGTTTATTACACATCTTTACCATGTGGTTATATGTATGTGTACATGTGTTTTGTTGCCTTTTAACAACAGCCATCTTAATGTTGACTTGTTGCCTCTGAAATTTTATTATATTGATTCTTATCAAGCATTCATTGGGATTATGTAATATACAATTTGTCTTTTATTTTTATTTAATTTCAATTCAACTCCTACTGTAATTACTTTTTGAAATGTTAATCTATTAATGAGTTCCTAAAGGATTTAATGGCATTTCACTGCTGAGGAGTGGCTTTTGGAACTTTATCTGAATACTGGATATTTTATTCATGTTTTTGTCTTGCTATTTCATATTTAATTGATGTGCTCTTTCTGTACTGTCACTAGAGTTCTGCAGAAGCAGAACAGATTGTAACTTGACAGACTTTAATAATAAAACCAGGAATGGGAAAATAAAAAGTTTGTTCATTATTGCTACTAACTTGGCTTACCACTAATTAAAGGGAAGAATTTGATGCCCAAACTTGGTGTCTCTGAATACCATTAGAAGCATGACACTTCATGGATCTTTATGAACCAATTTAAGAATTATTTTGTGTTTCACAATCACCGATTTACCATTGTATTTAAGTTAACATAGATGAACATAGCAAAGTTTTTATGAACTAAGAAAAAAAAACAAATAAGGAGGCTCTCATGGTTAAAAA